TTCACATGTAACAAAGACCCAAGCTATGTAATGATTTAAAAATTGATCGCGTGAAGAGGAAGGGGGATGGAAAGCTCTGCTCGCTGTTCGGAGACAAACCACTGCTAAAAATCGATTCCAAAAAAGGAAGGACTTTCATTATTAATTTTTGAAGATTGTCTATTATATTAGAGATCTTCCTGGGGAGATTTTCGCTTTTTGCCTTTGCTTACTGGTCGCGGTGATGGTGGACAAGGTGGTATAACGGAAGGTGGTGTTGGTGTATGAGGGGTAGGGATGAAAACAGTTTGATCATCCTTGAGGGCCTTTAAGGTCTTTTTTACGGCCGCTTTCGTTTGCCATGTCAATACCAGCAGAGGTACCAATTGCTTATAAAAAGATTCAATCTGGTCTGGGAAGGCCATCGGACCAAACTTATGCACGATACAGACATAATGCTTCGAAATCGACATCATTTCAACCATCAGATTCAACCCTATAATTTCATTGTACAAAGATTAGTAAAAGTAATATCAAGTTCATTACGCTTTCTGATAGAAGCCATACTGTTGATAACAAAGCCAGGAACAATGACGTTGTTGATAGCTGTGGGATTGGGTTTCAGCATTTGCCAGAGCATGTCTTTCATGAGTCGTGGTACTTTGATATTGGATTCATTAATCCATTTCGTGGACGTGCTTCCACCTTTTAGACCTGCTTCGGCACATCCATACTCAAGATCGCAGTAGCTTATTATCACATCTACTTTATGCCCGGTATCCTTGCGATCAACGGTCTTTGTACCCATGATACTCCTGGTTGCGTTTTTTCTTTCGCTAGAAGAGATACTAGCTTTTTTATCGCTAATATCCAAATATAATAATATGTTAGTTTCTTTTCTTATGTATAACGAATCATCATTACAGTCATATATTACTGGTATTTAATAATACACTCACCTGATGATTGTAAATGCCGATTCATTAAAGCATTTTTCAATAAAAGGAAATATACATCGTACCACGTCAGCCTCGGTTGTTTTTCCATCCATTGGTAGCCATTCGTAATGAAATAAGTCATGGGCTTCCATGACTGCTTTGTGGGCCCAGTAGACCTCTGCTTATCTCTTTAGATGAAAGGCTGCTTGGCTCATGAGTTTTTCAGTCAAGCTCTCGAGATTATACTAGGAGGCTAAATCATATATTGTGAGTTTGATTTATTATATGAATTTGATCCAAAATTATGGATTAGATATTTAAATGAATAAATTAATTTTAAAATGAAAAAGAACTATATTGATAGAAATTAATAAATAAATTAATAAAAATAGAACTACATTTTATTTTTTAAAACAATGATATATCAATATGTTAGTACTAAAAAAGTTTTATTTATTGGTGGATTATATTTTTGAATATAAGAATTTTAATTTTGTCTAATCAAACATAAAAACAAATTTAAATTGAATTTTTAATTTAAAAATAAATAATTACTCTCTTAGATTCCAAAATCATTTATTTTTTTTAGAAATAAAAAGAATATAAACAAAAAATCGAAATCTTTATCATGGTTGTATTGAATGAATTTCTTCCTATTAATCACATTACACTTGGAATTAACTTATATGCTCGATAACATTCTGCTACAATTGACCACTGAGCACCTCCTCTACATCATCTTTCGCCGAGCCCCTAACAATGTCTAACAATTCTCCGAACATTCAATCGATGGCAACTGCAAGCTATGACGTTAACGCAATGTCAACAGTAAGCGATGCGAGCTTTGAAGCATGGAATTATTTATGCAATCAGAATTTGAAGATTTTATAGAAAAAAATGCTATCGAAAAAATTCAAAAAAAAATTAAGAACATTGTTTGAAAATAATCTTTTTCTTTATCTTTCTATGAATAATAACTATTGTATACATATATTCAAAAAAGGTAAACGTGAAGGGTATTTTTGTACTAAAAAAATAAATACAAATTTACTATATGGTATAAAACCTGATATTTATGTTGTAAACATTCTAAACAGTATATTCCAAAACCAAAAAAATAAATAAACAAAGAAAAAAACATAAAAGGTTCATTTAAACCTCAAGAGGTTCAACAAAACATAAATGTTTTACTAGATGAACCTTTAAATAGAAATAAAAACAGAAAAAAAATAAAAACTAAAAAAAAAAAAATGGGATTAAAGATAATATTAGGTAATCCTTCTTCATTTTCATTTGCTAATATTTTACCATACATATATTACAATATAAAAGTTTATTTGGTTTTTATTATTAGGTATATTATGCCATTTTTTATTTTATACCTAAAATTAATAATAACATTTAATAATATTAAGAAATATTTATTAATATTAATGTTTTTGTATCGTTCTAGAAGATTAATCAATAAAAATCTATTATTATAAAATATTTAACTACTTTAAAAATAAGGATTTAGGCACAATAACATGGTTTTGTTAGAATTAGAAGAATATATACCTCATAGATTTGTTTGAAATCCATTAACATAGTCTAGTGTGCCTAAATAAAAAAATATTTAATCATTGTAGTTCATGTAATAACTTTCATATTGGGTGCAATCTATGAATAGCTCATACCAATCCTTCATAGGAATCGAGATATTGTTGCATGTCACTTAGTAACGGTTCAAGTTTTAATGGCTTGTAGCTTCTTGTTTCATGCAACTCATTTTGTGTGAACCGCGCTTGCTAATAATCATTATAGGGGTTCAGGATTAAGGAATGGACAGGGCTATTTTAATGTAATAAGGCTTGTTAGGTTATGGTAATTTGATATATGCAATGCTTAGTCCATCATTTATACTTACTGAAGGTAATCACATTCTTTCGCGAATTCACGCATCACGTCTTTGACTATTATTCCTAATTTTAAGGTCCACTTTTTCTCATCATCAAGTTCTTCAAACATGTCATCGATTTTTTCCTTGTTGCTCAGCAACAAAAGGACTAATGCAGATGATGATTTTGATGTTGCTGCAGCTGATGACGATGGCGATGATGAGTTTGACTGCTGCTTGTATGTCACTTCCAGTTTTTTCTAGCTAATTCTAGCTCCTTTTTTCTATAAAAACGAGGTGTCAAGAGATATGAGTAGTTTACAGAAAATTAAATAATTAAATTATATTACCAGGGTGATATTCATTATTTCTGCCATATTCTCGATGGAGATTAAACTTGAACTATTAAATATACCACATTTAATTGTTTAATATTTATCAATGACTTAATAATAATTTTTTATAAATATATATAATTTTCAGATTTTGAATTTTTTCTAAGATGAATATCAATTTAATATGTAAAACCTATTTACATTTGTTACTATGGAGGAACAATTCTATTTATTTATTGTAGATATAAATCAAAGCGGTTGATAGTTTATAAGGTGTAAGTTGTAAAAAAACTTGCACCGTGACTCTTTATGGTTCTTTCTCTTAGAGAAAAGTTCTTGAATTTTAATAAAAAAATAACATATTTTGTCTTTGAAAAATTCAAAATAACTTTATACTTATATTAATTATATATAATTATCAGTACTATAATGACCTAATTTTTATCTTATAAAATAATTCTACATACTTTTTCCTATAAAATTGAATTTTATTATATAATATGAATTAGATATCAAAAATATAAGATAAATAATAATTATATAGATATTTAATTTTGGTATTTGCCTAAGGTTATAAGTTTTTCCTGATTGCTTTGTCAATAAGTTAGAAGAACGGTTTTTATTTTAAATTTTCAAAATGGTACATTGACCCCCGCTTTTTGCACCTCCGCTTTTTGCAGATCCTCAGGTTTTGCAGCTTTTTTTGGAGGAATCCCACTCATCACTTAGTAAAATTGCAGTTTCCTCACTTTTTGCATTTTGCAGCCCAAAACCAGGACCTGCAATTTCCCGCTAGTGGTTTTCATTCTCCCCAGAGAGCGGCGACACTGAGAATCGAACCACTGATACTTCCTAGTTTTAAAGCTTTATATTTATTACATAAAGGTTTTATCACTGAAAATAATTGGTGATTCTGGATTGTTTGTTCTGGCTTTTCTTGCAGAAATCATCCCAGACTTTTCTGAGCTCATTCTGTATGTTTTGATGTTCTGGGGCATCTAAAATAGCAATTATTTTTTCTAGTATTCTTGTTTTTTCTTGCAAACTATATACTGGTGTAACAGGTTCAGATGAAAGAACAGTCATGCTAGTATCTTCATTGCTGTTGTCAACAACATCATCAGCTACTTTTTCATTAAGAACAGCACTAACAATTTCTTCATTAGAAAGCAGTGGATGAAAAGCTGCAATTTCCTCAGGTGGATCTGCATCAAAAGTGAAATTTGCAAGGTTCTTGGCACCATAAATAAGACTGAGATGATCATCAATCTGGCCAAGTGCAACTTCGTCTGCATTGTCTGACCCACTATCAGTGCTGCTAGTCATGACTGCATCTATTACCCTCGTTTTTATGTAGCAGTTTACAATTGTCAGCACTGGAAAACTTTGCCATGCCTCATGACACCATTGTATTTCTGTCAAAACATCAATACGAAACATATTTCCGTCATTAACAGGCAGGCCTTTTTCCAAGCGCTCCTGAATTCTGCTATATATATGCTCATATTGCAAATTCCTAATACAACAGAGAAAATGGTTACTTTCAAATCTCCACATACATATAAAATAAGCCTATCTAATAATTATAACAACAACGTACTTGAAATGCACCTTGAAGCTGCGGATAATACCAGCATCTAAAGGCTGCATAAGCGATGTTGTATTTGGCGGCAAATATACTAGCTCGAAATTCTTTGGCTCGTAATCGCAAAAATAGCCCGAAAAGTTGTCTAAGAGCAATGCAATTTTTCTTTGCTGATACACCATCGATTTATCCAACATAGTAAGGTACTTCTTGAAGATATCGCGCGTCATCCAAGCATTGGCATTTGCACGGTACTTCGAGATGTCAACCTTTCTCTGCTGTGCCTGTTTTTATATAGAAAATATAATAAGCAGTTGATCATCATCTTTTACTTTATCGTATAGCATACTTTGCTGAAACAGGTTGGGTGCTGTGCCTTGCCAATGAACCAGGGGTGCCACTTATTAGATCCATCAGCATTCGTCGTCAATACAAGTGTCAACCGCGACTTGTCCTGCTTGACCCCTTTAAACAGTCCAGGTGCAATTGTAGACACAGGAGCACTGGAGTAGAAGACAGCTGTCTCGTCCATTTGTAAATGTCCTTTAAGGCATATTTTTCTAGCATTCGTTGGATTTTAGGCAACTTGACTTCTGCGAGTGTGACATCAGCAGAGCTAGCTTCACTACTTATTTTTTGAACCTTGAGGTTATATCGTTTTTGGAAGCGGTTTTGCCAGCCATTGGAGAATGTCAAGTCCTCAGTTGAGATTTGCAGCTTAGTTGCAAAGTTTTCACCAGCTTTCTTAATAATATCCCAATTGATTGGGATCTTCTCATAGAATCTTTGTTCTATCCATGTATATAAAACCTATTCTAGTTCCTATTGTATTATTTTGCTTTCTTATTAGTAAAGTGAATAGCAAGCAGTACTCAATAAGCTTAAACATACGGGAAACTTTGCTCGAGCTTTTTGTCTTTTATTTCTCTTGATGCCGTTTTCTTCTTCATGTTTTCTCTTAGCAATCATTCGTGAAATTGTTGTTGTATTCGGAACACTCTCAAGGTTGTATGTTGTTTTTATCCAGTCGAGTAAGTCCTTGTATGTAAACTTGCGCAGCGCTTTCTCTTTGGC